CTGATGTATTATAGTTTTTACATGTAAACGGCTCACGCTGACATAAGTCATTAAGAGCTAAAGATACATTGCACGTGAAGGCACATCATTTCGAGCAGTCTCTACGCACTACAACTTGCGTAAATTTGATGCAGAAAGAAAAACGATAGATGAAACGTTGTTTGTTTATATCAAAGCAACCAGAGTAAATCTGCACATTTCGTTTGCGGATTTCGAATATCATTTCCTGTTAATCAGTTGTTGACCTCGATTGATGTCAATCGATAATTAATTCTTCATTTAATTACGAGATCAGCTCATAAAATTTGAAGAGATGACGGAACTTTGCTTTATCAATTACATACCATAAGGAAAATTTTTTATTTCTCGTTCATTATCTATTAATGAGTGTTCCCTTGCAATTTGTTTCAGTTAGACGTAATAACGTTTAACCTTACAATCATTATTTGTGATGATGATATATGATATCAAACCTTGTTTCCACGAATGATGAACTTATGATGACCGACCGAATGTAATAAAATTCTTATTTATGCTTAAAAATTCATTGTTTACCACATGACAACAACAAGTTGACGATGCGCTAATACGAAATGTAATTTCAGTGTTATGTGTCTTCTGTGTGAAGACATTCATCTCGAAATGTCTAAAACGATCAGCAGATAGCACCTGACTATTCTATCCTGTTATTTGTGTAACTTCGAACGCTTTGATTGACAGATTGATGCATTTGAGATTATAAGAGCATTCGCTTGATTTAGCTTCGTCGAGCTTAAGGTCATTTTTCAAACATCGGCAACCAATGCCGGGATATAGTTTCGAGATGGTTGAGAAGATAAAAACGAATCGAAAATATAAGGAATAAGAAAAAGGCGTGATATGCCAAAAGTGTCAAGTGTAACAAAAAGAAGAACTACCCGTTGAATAAGCAAACGTGTAATATAAGTGAAAAAGTTGCACTACTTCTTGATCGTAATATTACATTTTCATATTTGTGCATGCACAGCCTGGCAGTAAGTCACTAAAAACATTTAGTCCTTTTCATGGTTGCACTTGTCGTCATAAAATAACCCGTCATTTTACGACAACAAATTTCATTCAAAATATGTCAAAATATGCACACATACATATGGCCGTACCCACATGAATGCTGGTCATGCGAAATGGCATTGTTGAGGATGTTACATACACATAATTGTAATTTTATTTTTCATTCATGTGAAAATATGCTTTCATTCGCGCAAGAATGAAAATTCTTTTGGTTATAAATCACAAAAAAAATTTCTGATTAAAACATTGTATAAAAAATTCATAGTCTTTATACGAAAAAAAGCGAAAAATGCATTCAATATAATAACATTATCGCATGCATGGCTTAAGTGTTTTTTTTTTTTTTGTAATACTTTCGCTCAACGCTCGGTTATTTAGTCATTTATAGTAAGCATTAAAGCAGTTCCAAGGTATTCCCAAAATGCGCATTTTTTTGTTTTTCATATTTTTTGTCATTCATAATCTACTAATCATACCTTTACCAGCGTTACTTAAAACAACAAAGAAACTTATCTGTCCACAAGCAAGACGAAAACTTATGTCACGGACTTATTAAACTTAAAAGATATTAATCTGAACTAATCTGATCAATTTATTTAGTGAAGAAACAAACATGGACCAACCTATTAAAAATTAATAAAATATTTTCAAATTGTAATTCATTAGTCCGAGATAATAAATGTGGAAGATTCGCCCGAAGGCGAAGAGAACCTTTTTTTCATTTTAAGTCATATTTCTGGCGACCACATATACATTCTTTTCTTTTTTTACTCGCAATAGTCATGTCTTCGTTGAAAGAGTTACCCTGGCCCTACACTTAACACCATCCTCTTATGATATATATGCGCGGGACAACTAAAAAAAAAAACGCATTCATTTCCAATTTCATAATCCACAATATAGACGAACACTGGAGGAATGGAGAGTTCGTTTCTACAGTCTATCGTCTCAATTATTGGTTTGGTCTTATAGTCCTAACCAAGTTCCTAACCTATACAACTTCTAATGTATACAAGTCGACCAGATAGAAATGCTTTAGACACACTCTCAAAACCTGTCTGTTATTATAGGCGTGGCCAATCAACTGACAATCACAAGTGAAATCAATTGAGTTACTTTCGAATATGATAAACGTCTCGGTTTCCTTCTAGTCAACTTACATTTCATAAACTCATTAAATTTACGGTATAAGGGAAATAACTTATCTACAATCTAATCAATTTGAATAAAAAAAGAGACGAGAATTTGGATTGGATGTGGGGCCGACATAGACCTGAGATTTTGTTCTTCGCAGTGTGAATGTAAGTGTGAATGTAACTTGTTAAATTTGGGCGGAAGCAATTTACACCCAAAATATCTGAAGAGAGACCCGCCTTTTATTATATCGATCAATTCAGAAACGATTCTAAGTTTGTCTGTCCATCTGATGTATGTCAATGTGTTATTATGTTCTGCTTACAGGTTACAAATTTTTGAGATATTTCGATGAAGTTTAGTTGGTCGCCAAAGCGAGCCAAGGCGAGCGCTATTAAAAATGGTTTGGATCGGACCACTTTTCCAATCACTCCCCATACAATGTCCTGTTTTGAAAAGTCGTGATATAGAAAAAACTGCAATTTTCAAAATGTCTCGAGAAAACGCTCTGTAATAGTATTTGGATATTCCAAAGTGGTATGAATGAGTTTTTGAACCCCTCTCATATGGCCGTTCCTACGAAAATTGAATATTTTTATGGTCAAATAGGTCTAATTGCTAATATTTTATAATCAAAATGGGCTGAGGATAGTAATTTGATATAAAGATTGAGTCGGCTAAATTTAAACCAGGTGGACCTATATCTTGGATCTCTCTCCGTATAAGATTTCGTATGAAGAGGGTAGGCTATCTACTGGTCGGCCTTGCCACATTATAATGTTCTTATGTCTAGAATCATTTTTTGAGTCGATTTAAGCCTTTCTTGCCTTACCGACTGAATTTGGCCAATGGATGTGTTTTGTCTTAAGCATGAATGTTTTCAAAACTGGATTGGATTGGACCAATTTTTTACCATGATTCTCTATGCAATTTTCGTTTTAAGAAAAATTGGAAATTTTTGTACTGAATGTGACCGTTTTTTAAATCGTCCCCTCATTGAATGGTAAACGTAAGAGCGGGACACTTATAGAACGGACACATACCTATGAAGTTGCGGCTACTCCATCTCTCTCTCTCTCTCTCTCCATATTTCTTTCTGACTATTAACGTGAAATAAGTGATTGCTTATGAAAATAATGTTAGGAGTATAAATTATTTCGTTTCGGTTCGGTAGGAGAGACTGTGGTTAGTACTGTAGGGTATAGAGTTGAAAGCAGTTTCCTTAAACTATATGCATTTGTATAAATTGTAGTTCCTTTGAGGTTCGAATTGATGCTGTTTTCTGCCAGAAATATGCGGGGAATTTGCGGGAAACTTAACTTTTCCGCAAAGGATAGAGCGGCTAAATCCTTACGAATAAGAAAAGTGGATGCGCTACAATATCCAAAGCCTAAATAGCCTTGTTAGGGAGTATGTGAACCAATAACGTGGACGTTACAGCTGAATATCCTTAATGGACCGATTTGATGAGGTCAGCTGAGAGCAACGTATTAAAATTAGTTTCAAGTAAATGAACTCATCCCTAGAAAATCGTAAGTCTAAATTGCGTCAACAAAAAGGCGTAATGTACCAAAAGTCCGTTATATCGTAAATTTTTAGTGAGAAGGAATTCGGTTCTATATAGGAAAACTCGTTAAGGAAGTGCTGTACTTCGAACCTGGAATGACCTTCTCACTCTGCTGTTATCAGCAGATATTACTCCGACCGATTAACAATCGTTTCAGTAAATGATTTATTGCTTGTTTCAACAGTGCTTCCATTCGTATGACGAGGTCCAAATATGAGTTCTTTTACAGATAGTTTTAAAAGACGAGTCTTTTGTCGACATGGAATTCGAAAATTGCCTGAAAGATGGGGAAAAGGCATAGCTACTCGCAACAATTTCTCTGAATAAAGCTTCAATGAAAAAAAAAGCCCTCAAAACTTATTTATACACACAATAGCAATAATAATTACAAAAAAAATGAGCCGATAGCCTGTGTTGCTAGTGCTCAATGTCTCTTTTTTTAGTCTAAGAATTCAATTCATTAGTCTAAAATTAAAATAATAATAATAATAATAATAATTACAAAAAAAAAAAATAAATAAATAAAAGCAAGTCCTCATAGGTTATAATAAAGTCAAGCCTTTAGTAGTTCATATATTCGAAAAAAATGAAATCATAGTTGTAGAGCAACCTGATGTAAATTACGATATTTTTGAATATCGTATTTGAAGGTTTAAGAAGCTTCGTATGATGGCTCGGTATATGTTTTTATTTTGAACTGCTTACGTATTGACCGAACTCATTAGATTAAATGAGTGAAAAATGTGATTAATTGATTTGATCTACAAAGTGTTTGCATATTTTATCTTATTCGTTGACTTTCTATTAAACGTTTATTATGCTGAAAAGGTAAAGAAAATGAGTAACTGTTGTCTTTGTATTTAGTCCCTTCTCTAGCCTCTTTGCTGTTCATTGTTTCGCATTAATTTATTAGAGAGAAAAGTGTTTTTATAATTAACTCTTTCTCTCTGTCTCTCTCTCTCTCTCTCTCTTTCTCTGTATGTATGTTTGTTTGTTTTCGTGCACATGAAATTTGCTACACCATAGATAAGGGTGCACACCGGCACACATGTTTGTCCATTTGTCAATTAATACAAAATGATATTTACTTTCGCTTACAATTGTTGTTGTCGTTCTTGTTATGATTGTTAATTTTGTTTTTTTAATTCTTATCGTAACAGCTTTGCTGATTAAAATTGTTATCGTGTTATTGTTGTTATTATTATCCACCCATTTAACCAAATTAGATCATGAATAACAGTTCATTGTAAAATGTTTCAACTATAACAACAAAAGATATTTAATATTAAATATATTAGCAAATTAAGTAAAAGAAAAAAAAAATTCATAAATAAATAAAACAAAGAAAAAAGAACAATCTCAGAGGATGTAAAGTAATAAAGTACATAATAAACAAATACTTAAAAACAACATCAAAGAGGCTATCATCATTTGCACACACTTAACCATTTAAGTGATTGAAAGGGAGAAAGGGAGAAAAGGGCGTTTAGAGGAGGTTTACTAATCGCAGTTCGAAAAATGAACGGTACACTACCGTCACGATCGAATGACTCATCGTCAACTATAATAAAATATGAGAAATCTTCCTGTTTATTTTGTAATGAGTGGTTCGATTCGCAAACCTTTACGGTAAGTTCGAAAATTGATATCACAAATGCAGCTAAAATAAACTGCTAAGAAAACTATTCTCAAATCCAGTTTTAGGCAATTGTAAGTAAGAAAATCATATTTGTCTTGAAGTTAAACCATCTTTGTCATCCTCAATTTAAATCAGCGTATGAAAGCTGAAAGCGCAGCTGCTTCAAGACCATTTTTGCATTCAATCAATCAAGATATCAAGATCTGCTACTAAACGTAAGTTAAAAACTTACGTGTCCATTTTAATATTCGCAAATGTCAAGGGGGCGGAAATGAAAACAAAAACCTGAGCTGAGTTGTCTCAAGACTTTACGTCGATCCTATATTCATATACTCGATGAGATTTTTCATCAATATAATAATAGATTAACCTTTTCAGTCAATAAGAGATAAAGATCTGTTTTTCGTAAACGTTGATTATATATGCCTAACTGAAATCAATTAATTTGCTTGCGAATTATATGTTTTTGGCTTTTGTTTATTAACCATTTACGGAAAATGAAATCTTACTTCTATTATGAATGTTTACGGAATAGGTCGTGTTTTTCTTCTGGTCTTAAATTTTCATATTATATAATATTGGTTGGGTGCGGGTGACTTTTTCTATTTTCAGAATAAAAGTAGAAATTTATATGGTGCATGTGTTGCGCTATATGAGTAACAAGCAAAAAACACGGAAAGCATAAATGTTCGCAGTTTTGGTTGTGCGGACGTAAAACATTGTAAACGTAGTCTTTGGACCTGTTTGCGCCGTTTTCAAACTCTTTTGCAAAGTTGTAGGCGGTATCTTCTTTTTTTTTGGCAATGGGAGAATGTGTACCTTAGACACTACACGATTGTCTAAACGGCCAGATGGACAGACTCACGTGCTTAAATCGATTCATAATTTTGTGCCGATCAAGTATATATATTTACTTTTTAGGATCTCCGAAGCATCCTTCTGCGCATTGCAAATGTCTTGAGAAAATGAATATGCCCCTTATATATTGCATTGGGCCGATTGATATAGAAATCTAAACGTCCATACGCCCACTATAATTAAGGGCACTTTCATTATAGCACCTTCTCAACCGAATACGATAATTACTTAATTAGTAAAAATCAGAAAAGATTTCATTGCATTTGGGTCATTGATTGGGTCAAATTGTTCTTAATATTCTTTATTACATTTTAAATATCGCCTAATTAAAAGTGCAAACATCTAACCAATTTGTATACTTTACATATTGTATGATGTCGGCCGCTTCTGTTAGCTGAAACTAAAAACCATATTTGCCAAGACCTAACCATGTATGCTTAGCAATTATGATCCTTAGTTCAACTTGTATGATTTTTGGATTTGAAAACTGATTTGGAGCCAACCTAATTAAAACTTTGACAAATTTGAATCGTTTGTTTAGAGGAAAGGGAAAAATTGTCAGATTCTTGATACCCCAGGCCAGACTTATGAGCACATTTTGCCGACTTGTTGATCCAGTCTTTTACGGGAGTGAAACTAAGAAGACGAGATGAGAGTTTTAAGAAAAAAATCGCGAGTTCAGCGGATAGATGAACAACTAAACATGATTAAATCGATTTTATTACTTATCGCGATTAATAATATATAGGCACTTATGTTCGGTATCTTTTACGGCAAGCAAATATATGTTGTGGCAGTTTGTGAGCAATGAGCAAAACACTCATTTTTTAGCTGTTCAGGACTTGATGTTGTATTGTGGACATGTACCGTGGCAAATTTGTCCGCACAAGATGAATTTACCATGAATGTTGTGCAGACGGAAAATGATACTGAGCAAGAATATGCACACTTTATGGGATCTTTGAAACTATCTTCTAAGCGTTGCAATCATTTCAACAGAATCAATGTACCCTTGGTCTTCGATAGTAGGGGTTGAAAAAAAAAAAAAAAAAAAAAATGAAATTATTCAATCAAGATACTATGTTACTCGTTCATACCTGTTCTAGCTTGCAATCATCGATATCGTACGCTAGCGAATGGATTATCTATCAAACGTAGATTATATGTTCAAAGAGATAAAGTAATTTGTTTTTTTTTATTCAACATAGTGAATCATCTGTTGTCGATTTACTCGCTTGCAGAAGAAGAAGAAGATGACATATATATTGTTTCTTTTTTTAGGAGATATCTTATTCGTTTATTCCAATTATATATATCCGCCTGAGTAGCCGAAGGGGAGGAATCTCGACTAGCAAGTCAATGGTCGTGGGTTCGAATCTCAAGTGCGGTAGAGTTTTTAATAAAAAGCCGATGGCCTTAGATGCTAGTGCTTTTAAGAGTTTAGTCTTAGAATTTATTTCTCTGGCGAAATTAATAATAATAATAATAATAATAATATTCCAATTATATAAAGTATCTTGTGGGGGCTCTTCCTTTCGGTCGCATAAATATACTGCAACAATTACTAATGAGACTAATTACCAGAATACTTAGATTGTTTGTCGTCTCGATTTTAAACTTTTTCCTCGCAACTCCAATTAGTTTTCGGCGAACCTCGGTATTTTATAGAAGCGGAAGTATTTATATTAATTTATCTATAACGTAAATGGTTTCAATCAATTAAAAATTCATCAGGACTAAAGCTACTGTCGCCTCGCAAATTAATTGCTTAACAATTACTTATGCGAAGCAAAAAAAAGAAAGAAAGGGAGAGAGAGAGAGAGAGAGAGAGAGAGAGAGAGAGAGAGAGCGTGAGAGAGAGTGATAAGAGTAAAGAAAAAACCAAAAAGAAGTTCATTGATTTCGTTTGAGTGCATAAGACATTTCTAAATATACACATTGCAGGTAGAACAAGTAGATGCAATGCTGAAATAGTGCGCTAATAAAACAGTTCGATAAGATAAATATTTTAGTAGTGATTGCGACAAAGACAAAGGCAAAGTACTTTTTAATTAAATTATTCTTTACTCAACATTTTAGGAACACTTAATACATTGCGGGCAAGTATTGGAGCAATGCCCCAACACATGTAAAGTCTTCTTGCCGCGTCTAAGGATGCGAGCCCATCTTAAAGAGTGCCCACATGCGGAGCACAGTAACTCAAGTTGCGAGAATTTAGATAAAATGGCTGAACAAAGAATTCAAACGCTGGAAAATGACATAAACACATTACGTACGGTGTTAAATGAAGAAATACGACAACGTTTACATTTGATAACCGATCTGGGTAATGTGCGTAAACAAAATCAATTACAGGATGAAATGTCGCACAGCATACAAGAATCGCTAAAACATTTGCAAAACCGTTTAAATGAAGAGAATACACAACGATGCTATGAAGTGGAACAATGCCAGCAGGACTTTCGCTATTGCCATGATATTGTACAGGTTAGATGAAAGAAGTGCTTGCAAAATACATATCTAAGAATATAAGAATGCATATAAAGATAATTGCAGACGTTAAAAACGGAATTGCAGCACGAAATCGATGACTTGGAAAAGCACATTAATCGAGTATCTTTGGAGGGAGCACGACATCAAAATTTATTAAATGATAACATTCTGCAATTAGAGGACACCGTCTTAGCTCATGAAAGGAATAATCGGTAAGGATATTAAATTGTGTTTTACGGCCGCACTTCGCCGCTATTAATGTGACAAAAAGCGCTCAACTTTTCAAAGTCAAAAGACAATTTTATCAAAAATATCATTCAAACTATATTATGCCAAAAATTACGACTCTCTCTCTCTCTCTCTCTCTCTTTCTCTCTCACTCTACGATAAACACAGAAACCTTTAAGTGTCGGCATCAAACGATGTTTGAACAATCCGCATAAGCTTCGTATCTCTTACGACACAATTAGACTTTAGGGTGGTAAGATCAGTGGCATCTTTGTAATTGATGAAATTGGATTGTGGGAGAGAAAGAGAGAGAGAGAGAGAGAGAGAGAGAGAGAGAGATGTTTTAGTGAAGCTCACTCTACACATATATTATATGGTCAGAAAAGTCATTTTTTTTTTTTTTTTCTATATAAATCGTCATCATCAAAATCTGAGATGATAGAAAAACATTTTTATTCCATCGCATTGGTAAACCGATGCCTACCTGCTTTAATGTAAATCTTTCTTTTCTCTAGCGACAAATTCATAGAACTTGAAAATTATTTGCAAACTTTCAACGATGATATCAAAAGCAAATTACAAGTCAATGCCGATCATAATGCCAAATATGCGACTTTAGGTCTGGAGATCAAAAGCATGAAACATATTGTTTGTGAGACTGAAGAACGTTGTGACAAATTGGAAGCATTGTTTACCGAAATGGACCGTAGCTTACACCATACCATGCAATTGGTCGCTGATATGGAAAATTATTTATCTACGCAGCAAAGACTAACGAGTATTATAAATACTAGAGGTAAGTTGATGTGTTGCGAATGCGATAAACAGTATGTGAGAGTATGATGGTCGAAGGAGTTACATACGCTTTGGCGCGTTTAGAGTTTTTCCAATTTTTTCAATTTAATTTTATAAAATTGTTACATCCAAGTTAGATAAGATGGACAGAATGAAGCGATTTTTTATCCATCTCCCAAGAATCAATATATAGTAATTTTGGCGATCCGTTTATAGCAGAAACACACTAAGCAAATCACCTGGTGCGTGTTTATATTTGCGATCAGCATAAGATAGCACAATCCTCTACAATTGTTTACCATTGACTTTGCGTTCGCGATCATAAAAAGTAGAAATAAAATGCGAATAAATTTTTAAAGAACGCTGTCTAAATCTGTTTATCACGGCCATAAAAAAGCAAGCGCCAGTAATCTATGACATAAGTGTGACTAACATAAATCCAATCGTATTAAAGACAGGTAGCAGTAAACAAAGTATGGGTTCGTTGAATTCCTCACAAAAAGGACGATCGCATAAAATACGAAACTTGCGTCAATTAGTCGGCATAGATGTCTTAAAAATGCAATCACTTCTCTTCGACAATCAAGTGCGGATAGACATATGTGCCTAAACACAATAATAAACAGCAATAGAATACAGAAATTTTACGAAATCAGTTTGTCAGTCAGTTTGAAAACTATTTTTCGTTTCAAAGCAAACGATGCTTTTTTTTCTTTTTTAAAAAAATTGGTTGAATATTATGCAACAGTATGTTGTACAAACTTACAACGATTATTATGGATTAATCTGTAACGGTTTCTAGGCTAGAACTTTTTAGAAAAATAAAAAACAGATTGAATCATTATAGCCGTTCATGGCCCAGCATGGGAAGTGATCGAGAAAGTGATTCGATCCCAACCATTTTCAACAGCGTTCGTCCTTGGGCCAAATACCTTGGTTCGATACACCAAATTTCATCAAAATGCCCCAGAAATTACTAGCCGTAGGTTCAACGGACGGACGGACAGACTGAAAGGCAAGCTCAAAATTATCTTTCGACTTAATCAGTATAATGAAAGGTTGGGTGCATCTCCAGTCCTTCAGCGCACAAACTTGATATACACTGTATCGCAAATGG